TTTGGAATTTTGGAAATTTGGAATAAATTTTGGAATTTTGGAATTGTTAGGCCCCAAAAATTTGGAAATTTGGAATTTTTGAATTTTGGAAATTTGGAATTTTGGAAATTTGGAATTTTGGAATTGTTAGGCCCCAAAAATTTGGAATTTTGGAAATTTGGAATTGTTAGGCCCCAGTTTTAGAGTTTCAAGCCCCACCCCCTCCATGAGAAGAACGATCTGCGCGTGTCATGGAGGGGGGGGTGAGCATATATATATATATATATTATATATATATAGAGAGAGAGAGAGAGTCATGTATAGCATTCTAGGGCTTGGCTTTTTTGGGGGGTCTAGGGGTTTAGGGGTCTGGGGGATTTAAGGCTTCAGCATCGGGCTCCAGAGGTTTACGGGGAAACGCAGTGGCTTACAAATGCACGCTACATGCACGCATGCATGCTTGCTTGTGTGCGCATACATACATACATACTCACATACATACATACATACATACATACATACATACATACATACATACATCTTCGTTTAGTGTTTTAGCACTCGCACTCCAACATCATGTCGTACTTACTTCTGTATATGTATATGTATAGGTACTCTCTCTCTCTGTATATATCCATATATAAATACACATAAACACACATATGTATATATATATATGTATATGTATGTATGTATGTATGTATGTATGCATGCATGTATGTATGTATGTATCATTACGTGCCAAACGCAGCCAGGACGCCCTTTCTTCTTGGCTCCTGCCTTCACAGCGGGTGCCGGGGCCTCTGCCGGCTGACTCGCCTGAGCTTGCTGCCAATACAAGGGGTCGGTTGAATTACCCATAGTCACCATAGTAGTTCTTTTTGGGCTTCTATTTGGGATCCTTATAAGGTAACCCCAAAAAGGAACTACTATGGGGTCGGTTTAGGGTTTTTTCAGGGTTTAGGGTTTACGGCTAGGGCTCAGGGGCTCAGGGTTTAGGGTACTTCGGCTCTACTTTAACAAAATAACAATGCCTTAGTTGTACGAAGCGTGCAGGCATATACTGGTATGTATGTTAGTTTGTTCGCAACCATGCGCAACTACATGCCCATGTGTAACATTTCCCTTCAGACATATGCATAAGGGAACAGTGGCATATAGACATACTATGTCTATATACAACATGTGCCCTTATGCGTACTATGTAAGGTCGATTACCCGAGTTTGGGCACTTATTTCCAAACTAGCCTCGAGGATACAATGCCACGAGTCCGGGCACTTCGAACTCCAGCAACCCGCTTACGAAGCCCCCTGATCCTCAGGCCTACCTTTGGTTAGTAGGGAATGGAAGAATGGTAGTAATGGTACTTATAATAGTTCCCATTCCTCCATTCCCTACTAACCAAAGGTAAGCAGGAGAGCGCTGAGAAAGGCGAATGAGTGGCCTTGCCACAAGAAAACGCCTTAACCGCCTAGGCCCTAGGCTCCAAAGTTCCCGCAACAACCTGAACTTCAAACGCGAAGTCGTGCAACCTTTCAGATAACTTAACGCAGTAAACCGAAGCTGTTGTGTCATTTCTCCTGCCAGGACATAATGGAAAGGACATAATGGAACCCTAAGCCCTATAAACCCTAATGGAACCACTGTGTATCTGCATCTTGCATCTCCAACGCTACATGCAGTGAAAGTCTCGGAATTCGCTTCCGCCTCGTCTTTGGCATCCGCCTTGGTCTGTGGGTTTAGGGTTTGCCCCTGAGTGGGCTGAGTGGGGTGGAGGCTCTGATTCTGCGTGGAAAAGAACTGCGAACCTCTGCACAGCACTCGGCCGTCAACAGAATCCGACTCCACAAATCGAAACCCACAATCTCAGTCCTTCTACCACAAACCTGAATTCCTAAACCCTAAAACCGAAGCGCAACTCTTGAGAAATGGGGCCCTTGTCCGAGTCAACTCCGGAAGCCTAAGCCCTAAGACCGGGGCTAAAATCCGATTAAAGACTGGGACAAAACCATGGTGGCCTCAAGGGCTAGAATCTGGAAGAGTCCTTCGGGGCATATTAGGTATAGGGCATTCAGGCCTGAGTCAGACCTTAATGATAGAAGGGCCACATCTACCTTCTGACACTGTAAAGATAGAAGGGCTTAAGACTTGGGGCTTTGGAGCCTCACAAATGAAGCGAATGAAGGCAGAGCCCTGTCTTTAGAGAATAGACCGGAAGGGTCTCGTGTTGAGGGTCTAGGAGCTTTTGCTTCCAGGCGTGTGCCCCCGTTTAGAAGGGAGGAGCCCGGACGGCAAGCTGTCGAGGCTTTAAGGGTTAAGGGTTTTGGGGGCAAGGCTTGGTGGTCTTCTCTGAACAGGAAGGCCCGAGGTACTCGAGGATCCTTGACTCTGTATGAAGGTACATATCCCTGCGAGATCTGCTCCTCAATGAAGCTGGCGGATGATGATGAAGCTGTCAGCTTCCTATCTTCCAATCCCAGAGTCCGGAACTAACTTCAAGATACCACAAACGACTTCAACCAAACACCTGAAAAACACAAATCCGGAAACTAACTCCTCCGAAACCTTGAGGCCTGAACCTTGATGACAAGAACACAGGCCCGTAAGTACAAACAACGAAACTCGTCAACCACAACGTAATGGCCAAGCAGCGCGTGCCGGTCGCATCTGCTGCATCGAGGACTGCTGTTGCGGTTGCTGCGGCTGCTGTTGTTGCTGCTGCTGCTGCTGCGGCATCTGCCTGGCTAGGAGTTTAGGGCTGGGGGGGCGTTTGACTTGTTGGAGTCATGCTGTTGGAGTTTAGGTTTGTGCTTAATAGGTTTAGGTTTATAGTTAATGGTGAAGACCTCTCAAGCTTAGGCTCACCCGCAAGCTCTGGACCACAACCCGACAACTTTGGAACGCCCAAAGAAGTTAGGTAAGCAAGAACGGGAAAGCGGCTGCTATGAACAACTCGGCTGCTGGAACTGCTGCTGCTGCTGCTGTTGAGGCTGGAAGGCCTGCTGCTGGGGCATCATCATTGGATGGCCTCCCACCTGGTTCTGGCCTTGCTGAGCATTGGCATCCTGTCCGCCGCAGGCCCAACCTCCCTGCTGGTGGCCCTGGTCCATCATCTGCTGGCCCTGCTGGTTGGGCATACCCATGACAAGCATCACCTGCTGACCGGGCATCCCCATTGCGGCGCCATTTGCGGCCATCATGGGTACCTGGCCCATCTGCATGTTCATCCCGTTGTTACCGTCTTGGGCCTGCACGAAGCCGTACTGCTGACCGGCCATGAAGTTCTGCATCTGCGACTGGTCCACGAAGTTGGGCTGCTGCATGGTTTGTCCCTGCATCTGTCCATCCTGAGGGTACTGCCCCTGGCCTTGCTGCGGCATGGTGACGTAGTAATACCTCGGCTTGCCGCATACCACGACCGTGTCTAAGCATGGCAGATCTCCCTAGAAAGCCCATGCACCAATGCTACACTACATAGTCTTAATCCGGGGCTTCAAGCATCTTCCCTCCAAAAATGCACGGGGCGGTCCAACCAACCTCAGGACACTGAACCCTCTAGCCCAAGCTCCAAACGCCGCAATAAAGACACTGCTCATCATCAAGCGTCATGAACTCAAAACCTCAAAACAGCCCAGCCCATCGCCACCATTATCAGCATCATCATCATCATCATCACCATTAGCAT